GAGAGGGAGCTTTTAAGCGGCTGGAAGGCGGCGACTACTTTACTCTTGCTGCTTTTGTGCTTAATCGGCCAAAGCGGCTATTGGCAGATATATTGCTTCTGCATATGCAGGATCCATTATTAAATTTACAGTAGTTACTTCATCTGCCTGGAAATGATCCAAGTCCTTTTGGATTCCTCTTAGAAGCCAGCGGCCATTGCTTCGTCTGACGACGGAGAGCTCCCCAAACTGCTTAGGCGTTAAGTAAAAAAAAAGATGCAATTTTGGTTTCCACTATCTCCATGATCTGCCTCAATACACATTCTCGGCTTCCAATGTTTTAAGCTTCCCGGGTTTTCTTTCTTCATATTTTTCGCATTTTTTATAGCTGGCTGACATGTTCAACCGCTTTTCCTCCAAACCCCCCCCCCCTTTTCCAATTCCTGTTTGCCTAAATTAAGCTCTTTCCCCAATGAAGAAAAGCAGAATCTCCGCCTTTTCTAAGGGCGCAGCTGCAGGTGCATTTGACCACCAACCTTTGCAGACAGCGTGTGTATTGGCCATGCTGGCGGAGGAAATGATTGTGTAGCCTAACGTTCAGAAGGCACAGGGTTGGCACAGGCAGTTTTAGCTGTTTCTCAGAGGAAGCAAACTACAGCTCCCTAATCATTTGTGTATTACTTTTTTGGATGTTTGTACATTAATGCCTGCATATATTTTGGTTCTACTGTAGTCTTAAGTAGAAAGTGAACAACCTCCTTTTTTCATTAAGATTGAAAATGTCTTGATTTCCTTTATTTTGCAAACAGGTATGTTTGGTCTTTGAGACTTTTAGCTCACTTAAAAACACTTTGTAGCTCATCTCCTCAATTGTGCAATTACAGAAGTTCTTCCATAAAATTGGGATGGGGGGAATCCTTTGTATGCATTTGTACCAATTTATATTTATTGACAGCCTCAACTGTGTAGACAGAAAGCCCCATAACAGCCTTTCTGAATCCTCCAGATAGAGTGGACTGGAATTCCTAGAGCTTTCAGCTTCTAAAAAATTTAGGAATTGCACAATTCCAATACATCTGGAGGGTGCCAGGTTGGGAAAAACTGCTTTAGATAGCAAATGGATGGTGGAAAGGGGTTACTTCAAGTCAAACGAAGGCAAACAGTGGCCCACAGAACACATTCAATCCCCAAACCACATTTTTTGGCAGGTGTCAAAGCTGTGTCTGTCTGTATCTCTGGATTTCAACAGCATAATAACCTTAGCACCATTTGTGGTGGAAAAAAACACAGGACTGTTAATCTAAATCCTAAAATAGGCCTGGCATACTTTGGAAGAGAAGCCAATCTTTCTGCCTCAACTGGGAAAAATGGAGAATTTCGGTTCCACCAAAGTTGCAGATAAGCCTCTATTCATTTTATGACCCACCCAGTACAGCTTTCCAATGGTTTATCCTCCACTCCTTCAGTTTAATAGAATAGATACACCCAGATCTCATTCTTGTATTTGTGAAATATCTTGCTTCTTGGTGATCATGCTGGATAATGTATCTTGTATCATTAAGGTAGGATATATAGCTGTCAGAGACTTTCACTTACAATTGGCACATGCTTGATGCTTTAAAATAAGATTGGGAGGGTCCCTAGCTTACACATAAATCCTTTTTGGCATATAGAGGGGCCCACATTCAAACCCTGATATCTCAAGTGGAAAGAAGGATCCATTGGATATTCAAGGTTCCAAATTCCAAATTGATAGTTAATAGTCTGTCCTGACATAAAGCAGCTACATTAATCTAGGGAAAACTAAGACTTCTTAATGGTGAGAACTATTTAATTACAGAGATTTTATAATTATTTTATAACAAAAATGCCTCAGACCAGCCTATATATGACCCCCTTATGTTTTACTGGTGCTTTAAGACGTTTGAAATCCAGTGGCAAAATGGCTGCACTTTGGCAGCTCAGATTTGATCACTCTTTTACACTGGGAAGGGAAAGCAACAGAACTGGACTTTCAGAAATCCATATGACACAGGAATGGATATAGTCCTGGAGCATAGACTTTAACTTCAATGAACTATGCCATATTTGCCCAAAACAGTGGAATTGTGAGAATTCTCCAATTTTGTTGGATCTTAAGAAAGATTCCAAGGCTGTTTTAACTGGAAGCTAGTATCTGCAAAACATGTCTTCAGCATTGGTGCTTACTTTCCCCCAAATAATTGTACTAGTTAATCCAAGCTAGTGTTCCAACTTTTTAAATCTCCATTTCAAGGAACCTAAGGTCTTGTCTAGGTAAAACTGAATTGATAAACACAACTATGATATACAAAGCAGCGCTTGGAAAGGTTACCTGGTTGTTTGATCCAATTCAGTCTTTTTTTTAAAAACAAAACAAAATAAAAGAAGCTTACTTTTAAATGCAAATGAAAAATTGTTCTGTTTTTGCCTTGCAGTTAAGAATACAGAATGTTTCTTAGAACAGTGTTTCTCAACCTTGGCAACTTGAAGATGTCTGGACTTCAACTCCCAGAATTCCCCAGCCAGCAAATGCT